TTGAACTATTTCAATATCTCATGACACAAAAGGAGAAGGGAATGGCAATGGAGGAAAGGGATCAGGTCCAGCAGATACTGCTGGTTTGTCTTTCTCTACAAGGCCATGGTGATGGCAGTCGTTGTGTACCTTCAAGTAATTTCTGATTTGCAGCAACCGTAAGGTGAACCCATTACAGGGTTTTCTTGACAAGTTTCATCAGAGGGAATTTGCCTTTCCCTTCCTCTGAGGCTGAGAGAGCATAATTCGCACAAGGTCACCCAGTAGGTTTTCATGGCCAAGCTGGGAACTGAACCCTGGTCTCCAGAGTAATGGTCCGACACTCAAACCACTACACCAGGCTGTGTAGAGAGCCCTCCTCATATTTACTGGTGGAGAATCAAACCCATTCCCGAGTCTTAGCCCAACACTCAAACCACTATGTCACATAAACAAATTCAATGTTTAGACCTGAATCCATCTCCAAGATATGCATATGTAAATATTATGCACACAAAAATATTATGCATGTGTAAATATTTTTAAATGTGAGGGATCCAAAATCCAAAGCACTTCTGATCCCAAGCATTTTGAACCTATAACGTTGTTATGTGTCTTCAAGTTGTTTCTGACTTGAAGAACGAAATCCAATCATGGTGTTTACTTGGCAAGATTTGTTCAGAGGGGTTTTGCTTTTCCCTTTCTCTGAGGCTGAGAGAGTGTGACTTGCCCAAGGTCACCCAGTGGGTTTCCATGGCTGAGAAGAGAATCAAACACTGGTCTCCAGGATTATAATCTGCCATTCAAACCATTACACCACATTGTGCATAGATCCCTGCCCGAACTGATTACTGGTGGTGGCCATTCACACAAGAGCACAGAGCTACCAAGGAAAGGAACATCACACTTTGTTTCATGCACAAAAGGGTTTAAAGTATTGTGTATAAAAATACCTTCAGGCTATGTGTATATACAAAGCATAAATGAGTTTCATGTTCAGACTTGGGTCCCATCTCCAAGATATCTCATTACATATATGCAATTATTATAAAATTTGGGATGGGGGGGTTTTCAAATCCAAAGCACTTCTGGTCCCAAAAATTTTGCATAAGGCAGGCTCAACCTATAATAATAATAATAATAATAATGATGATGATGATGTTGTTCTATACACCTTCAAGTCTTTTTCTAACCTATGACGCCCTTAAGGCCGGGTTTCATGGGGTCTTCTTGGCTAGTTTCTTCAAAGGGAGTTTATCACTGCCATCCTCTGAGGCTGAGAGAGTGGGTTATACAGCCGAGGGAGGGTCTGAGTCCCTAGTATGACACTCAAACCCAGGGGTAGGCAACCTTTCCCCTTTAATGGCCGAGGGACTTCAGCTCCCAGAATCCCAGGAGCTATTGGCCAACATGGAACTATTGGCCAACATGGCTGAGGCTTCTGGGAGCTCAAGTCCCTCGGCCCTTAAAGGGGAAAGGTTGCCTACCCCTGCTCAAACCACTACACCTCGCTGACGGCAAGTGACAATACTTTGGGTACTGCCATTTGGGTTTAATGTTCTTGCTGTTGTTGTGCGCCTCCCGGCTTATGGTGACCCCAAGGCGACCCTATCTCTGGGGCTGAGAGAGTGTGACTTGCCCAAGGTCACTCAGTGGGTTTCCATGGCTGAACCGGGATTCGAACCCTGGCCTTCAGAGTCCTAGTCCAGCGCTCAAAGCACTCCGCCACGCAGTGAATGGGGCCCTCCCTCCTCGTCTTGTCTTGAGAACCAAGGGAAAGAACAGCAAACGCCTCCTCCCCCTTCGAGTCCCACCACGGCCACCGTACCTCCCCCTTCTTCTCTCACCTCTGCCTGGCGCCCCGCTCGCTCGGCACCGCTCCTCGGCAACTCATGGCTGGGCCAGGCTGCCGCTCCTCAGCCCAAAGCCCGGAGGATCGGAAGCCGTCTCGCTCTGAGGAGCCTCAAACAATCCCCACAGCCTCTTCCTTTCCTCGCCGCTTCCGGCGTCCACACCTCTGGCGCAAGCGCTCTGACAACACAGGAAACCACGCCCCCTCTCCCGTCTCTGACGCTCTGGCCGCGCAGGCGCATCAATAGCCCAAACTGAGGCCGTCTGGCCGTTACGCATGCGCAAACAGTGACGCATGAGCTTACAATCACAAGCGCAGGCGCTTTTGTAAACATTGGTCGCCTCTGCCGCGCATGCGTGGAGGACTCATGTTTTACTTCCGTCGAGGGGAAAACATACGTAGTGATATAACGAACGGCGTTATCATGTGAGGCGCGAGTGCCTCAGGCCGTCTGACGTGTTTTGAATATGTCTGTGTTCATGCATTGCTTGGCACAATGGACTAGGCCCGACCCGCAGAGCTAGGGCTCCGTCCGCACTGCAGAAACAATCCGGTTTGACACCACTTTAACTCAATGCTGTGGAATACTGGGACTTGTAGCTTGTTGTGGCACCAGAGCTCTCTCTGACAGAGAAGGCTCAATGTCTCACAAAACTACAGTACCCAGAATTCCGTAGCTTTGAACCATGACCGTTAAAGCGGTATCAAACTGGATTATTTCTTCAGTGTAGACGCAGCCGAGGTTCACTAACAACTGACCAGGTCGCATTATTTTCCCAGGGCAGGAAGGAGCATCTGCAAGTCCAATTGCATAAACATAATTAGGCAAGAGGTCTGCCACACATTTCTTTCTTTTGGCTGCCACTGAAAGCAAAGCAAAGCAAAGCACCCTTTCAGTCCTACGCAGCTAGCCTGGCGTCGTGGTTTGAGCGTTGGACTGTGACTGGAGACCTGGGTTCGAATCCATGCTGAGCTATGCAAACCCACTGGGTGATCCTGGACAAGTCACACTCTCTCAGCCTCAGAGGATGGCTATGGCGAATCCCCTCTGAAGACACTTGCCAAGAAAACCCAGTGACAGGCTCGCTTTAGGGTCACCACAAGTCGGAAACGAAGCACACAACAACAGCCTGTTCCCATTCTAACGAGAAGCATAAATCCTGCTTTCTAAAAGAAACCATGGTCCAAAACACACTGCAGAGAGAATCCACTCTTGAGTCCACTTCAACTGCACTGACTCAATGCTAGCGAATCATGGGAACTGTAGTTTATTATGGCACCAGAGGTCTCTGACAGAGAAGGCTCAATGTCTCAGAAAAAAACTACAGTTCCCATGATTCCCTAGCACTGAGCCAGGGCAGTTAAAGTGGTCTCAAGCTGGATTGTTTCTGGCAGTGTGTTCAGGCCATAAATCTCATATCCCATCCCTTTCCCCTGAGGAGCTTCCTGGCTTCTTCCAGAAAGCAGGATTTTATTGATGTTTGAGCTCTGAATATTGTGCATTTGTGTTGTCCCTGCTAGTCCAATTTCCTTGCTTTTTAAAAACAAGTTTCCAGCAGAAGCGGAGAAACTTTGCATCCGGATCCCAGTGACAACAGTGTAACTCTCATTCAAAGCTACAGCACAGCAGGACACAACACTCTCACACACATCCTCCCCAAAATCTTCTTGGCAGACCATGGGTTAAGCAGCAAAGCCCTGCGCAGCTCTTGCACCAAGAGCTTCCTGCCTTCCTTCCTTCCTTCTTTCAGCCGCACTTTCGCTTTCCATTTCTAACAAGGGCTGAAACGATCCGCAGCTGGAGAAGAGGCAGAGCCACCATCAGTTCCTGAAATAGCCCTATTTAGACCTTCACAAACCAAGGTATGGGGATGATGGAGGATGGGATACTTTGAAAAGACTTTAACTGATAAGGGGATAGAGACTTTCTTAAGAAAGCAAGCCTTCTAGCAAGGGAACCAGAGGTCCTCATCGCAAAGGAGGACAAAAAACACCGCAAATGTGGAGGACATGACCCAGTACAAGCTAAAAGCACTCATTTGGATGGACCTTTGCTTGAATTGTAGCAGAAAAATGGGACAAAGAGACACCATGGACTGAAGGAAAGTGAGTTTATGCTGGGAAAGTGCGTAAACAATATTATGCTAGCAGGCTCAACAGGAAATAACTTTCCAAGGATGCTGAGCCCTGATTTCAGCAAAATGAGACTCTTACAAATATGTCCAGCATATAGGAAAACCACTCCCTCCTTGGATTACTATTTCAAATAATTACAGAATCCCATTTCAAATCCTTGAAATAAAATAAATACTTTTGCTGCAAAAGACTGCCACTGCTACTCTTCTGAAAATGTACAATGAGTTTTTGGTATTTTAGGACGTTATCACACGGGGAG